ATATATATATATAATTATGCCATATTATACCGATCATAATGACCTCAAACCACTCCAATGTGGGTAAAGATACCAGTCCCATGGAGTGTCTGGGTATCAACGCGCATGTGGCTCAGTGGTACTCCTTCATCATCCTTCATCCACTTGCGGCCAGGTCGAGCCCGTGGAGCCGCCGATGCGCCATCCATTCGACGGGTCGGGTCCCTCAGCCACAGGCACCGGCATGATATTTCGGTGCTCGATGAGTGCCAAAGCCACGCCAAAGGCAATGTGGGCGCCAGTGCCTATGAAGATCGCATGGGTTAAGGCGCCAAGTAGAACCCTATAAAGTTGTGTATCCATTAAACCTTCCTGAAGCTTCAACCTTCAGAGATGTGAAGAGCCCTTGTCCATTTACCTTTATGCGGCATGTGTACTCACTGAAAAACATTCCTATTCTGGGTCTATGAAGAGCTCTCGTCATTCTTGGAGCTTTCTCTTGTGTGGCAAGCTGCGCCCGAGTCCACCGCGTCCAAAGCTGCACCCTTTTGATTCTGATCAGCACACCACGTCTGATCTTTTCGTACCTGGATACACCTGGTATAGGGGTCATCCTTTCATCACGGTGGGAGCAAACCTCTTCACATCCACAAGCTAGCTGCCTGATGTTAGCTAGCTGTGGTGCAATCCACAAGCAATGCAAAGAATCAATCGTGACTCCTGGCTTGCTGAAGGCAGCTGGAACAAAAAAGACCAAACAAGGGGATTTAACCATATAGGGACACATATAAACTCAAACAAAAACAGCCCCAGGCTCAAACCCTGGAAGAGTTTGGATCCATTTGTTCACCAACACATGGAGCGGATTGCCTCATCTACCTACCTGAATCAAAGCTTTTCGATGCTTTTCTTTTCAGAGATGTCTTGGAAACCTTGCCCTACACTTGACCGATGAAATTGGTCAACATCTCAAAGGAATCATCATCAGAAAATATATACTCCAACATGTGATAGCTACTGGAAAGCCTTTCCAGGTCTCTTGTCCTGTAGGCGTGAACCACGGTGAACCGCGATGGTTTTCTGCCCATTGATTGTCCCGGTTTTCCAGGTGCCTAGGCCAAGCACGGCCACATTGTCATCCGGAGTGATCTCCACATTCTCCTGGACATGCCAGTTGCATCGAAAAGCTTTCGATCACTGAAACGAACAAGTGCTAGTCCCATGCATGGAGTGTCTGGCGAACCCTATGAACCCTGTGGGCAACGTCCAAGAGCTGCATGGGCGCGCTTGCAGGATTCCGCTTCCACCGGTCGTGCCATGACTGCGACCACATATGCATACACACATGCCTGGATACATGCGGCTACAGGCATTGAAGCATAGGCGCACGCACTTTCGCAAACGCCTGGATCTATGCCATCTAATGCCATCGACTCAAATTCCTCACGTTCTGCCTATGATCTTATCTACTCATCTACTCCTCCAAAAGCTTCAGGGCCATCTCTTCCAGTTGCGACCAGCCAATCTGGACCTCATCTTCTGCCTGAAGCCAGCGACTTCGACCAGCATCCACCTGAGAAGCTCGTAGCAAACATCGAGAGGGCGCCCTCTGCGAGTGACTGCGATCGAACGAATCTTGTGGACTTGTGGTTGTCTTCTCTTTCTTTCAAACTAAAAAGTGCTCTTGGAGTACTTCAAGTTTGAAGATTCTTGGCCCAGGAACTGCATATGCTGTTGATGCATCCCGCTCCTTCACCTCTGGATGCCACTTGACGAGCTTGTCCGCCTGCTGGAATTTGACCTTGACAAGCTGCGTGAGACTTCTACTCTGAGGGAAACGTCTTTTGTTGATTTTAACCCCTGCGATTGCCCTAGAGTCTTCACATCCGAGGATGAAGCGGTATCCAATTTCCTGGGTCCAGGGATGTCCAACGAATCTTGATCAGCATGCCAGCATATGCCAGCATTGTGATCCGGTCACGCCAAGGCCATGTGGAAAGCAACAACAACATGGCCTGCTCAGGACAACAAGGGGGAGAAATCATTTCAAACCAGCCCTAGTGCTCCAGAGCATCTCTAAGAAGGTATCCGGAAAATCATCT